GAATTAACGACTTTTGACTGTATCTCTCATTAATATAACTTCTTTTGAAGCATTCCAAATACTCTTAATTTTCCTAATGTGCAACACAGTGTTGTTGAATCCATTGTGATTTATTTCCTTTTAGTTTTTCTGCCACTGCATTTATTTGATGTATCATAAAAGCTCTCCCATCAGAAGTAAACATTACCATTTTTTTTAAAGTCAGCATTATTTTCTCAACAAAATTCTTATTTTGCAAAAACAAGCAAAAAGATCTGAATTATTCAAACAAAAGTAGTTTTGTATCTTAACATCTAAATTTTAAGTATAATATTAAACACTTTGCAATAGAAGTTTGAGTACTTTCATTGAAAGTTAAAGTATGTAAATTAGATCCTTGCGTTTTTCTGTCATGTCAGTTTTTATCATGGAATTAATAAGTTTTAAAAACGTGAAAGCATAATTGCCAATTTTCTGAAACTTTTTAACGTATTTTGCCACACAGTCATCTATATCCTGAACAGAGTGTAACAAAATGTTCATCTTAATTGTTATTAAATAATATTTTCACTTTGTGTAGAATGGATTTTTTCTTTTGACATTCATCTAATATCTTATTTAATAAATGTACTAATCCTGTTGCAAGATATTATTACTTTTTAATTTTGTTAGTGTCTGCATGGGATTTACTATTTAAATGACATTTAAAAAACCCAATTTTTAATTATCTGCCAATTTTTTTTAACAAAAAAATAATTTTTTCCATGTCCGTTACACCAGTAACGTTTTCTTTGTCATTTAAAAATATTTCCTGTAGCAGAATTTTGTAATTCATTTTTTCTGTTTGATGTCTCTGTTTCGACTATTTTATTGAGCCATTCAATTTTAAAATCCTTTGGTGATTTTCTTCTTTTTATAAAGTTTTTAATGCATAACCACATATATTGTTAGCTACACTTGTGAACAACGTAAAATGTTCCAGTCTGTTTTTAACAATGGGCACTTGCATTAGGAGACTGCACAAACGCACACACCATCACCTTTTCCTACAGATGTATGGCGCAACACTAGTACACATATTAAATACATGTGCTAGTGAATGTATAATAAGCATATTTAATGTGAATTATTTTAAAAGTAATGTGGAGAGGTAATTATTATTTTATTTAGTGAGGTGTTTGTGTGTGTGCTAGTTAATTTTCTTTGTGCGCTAAATTTTTGATAGGCTAGTGGGTGCACACACACACACACACAGCGTAGGGGGAACTTTGGTCCCAGCACAAGGATCTTCTGTAAGTTGATGAAGAAGTTAAATAAATTTTGTGTGTTCTTTATAGACATTCCTTTCATCCTTGTGAAGCTCATCTCTTCATCAGAATCCACACTGGAAAAAGGTTGTCAACAAAAATTTTGTAAGTAGTTTGCAGACTATAGCAATTCATTTGTTTTCTTCAGTGATAAAAACCTTTTTTTTTTTTTAAATCTAAATATGGTGCCAGCCATTAAAATTGCTTCACCATGAAGGTATCATGCAACATCCATCAAATTTTCAAATTTACATGAAAGGTACTACATGCTGGAATATGCTGATAATTAGCATTCCAGCACATTCGCATAAGTTAGGTTTGAGTCTATGTTATGTATAAATGGGAAGAGTGCACAAGGAGTTTCTCTATTGGAAACTGCATTTTAGCATTAGTTGTTTGTATAAAGTTGTGTTATGCTTCTGTATGAACCAACATGTATTAGAATTTGATTGTGGCAGGATTATGGTTTATTGAGACTGTGCTTTATCATTCGACAGCTTTGCAGCTATTGTTGGTAGGGATCTCATGACTGTCAGGCTAATATGAAATCAGTGAATGCAAGAGGACCCCGCTGAACACCATGCAGTTGTCTCAGCGCCTCCAAGCCAGTAGCACCTGAGAGTTGTCCTCTCGGCTTTGCAGGATCATACATGAAGTATTGTGTACCTATCCTTAGTCAGAAAACTTGACTATGTGCAGGACAACACATGTCCGATTGGACATTGCAGTGATGTCTACAGCAATGCTGTTGTGGCTTATCTTGACATAGCAACAAAGATTGGTATGCTACAGTGATGCGACGAGCCATGACAGTGGACACATGAGTGGCAACATGTTGTCTTTTCATATGAATCCTGGTCCTGCATTTGTTATCATGGTGGATGCATCTGTGTGTGCAGGTACTAATGAGAATGAAAATTGCTAACTTGCATTCTTCATCATCATAATAGGCTAGCGCTTATTGTGTCATTAGGTACACATCCTGATCACCTCTTGTTTGCATAGCTAGTAATGTGGACTGCTGCTGTTACATTTCTAATATGTTTGTGCCCTATCTTTGAATCCTGCGTGATGCCATGTTTTGACAAAATAATGCCTGACCTTCCTCAGAATGCAACAAATTTCCAAGGAAAGTCAGAACCTGTGCTGTCCTGACCTTTTTCGATACGGAGGGAGTTCAACTGGTTGTCCTAGCCAGCACATTCTCCACGTCTTCCACTAAGAACATCCAGTCACGTCACCACAGCTGGCGAACTCTAACATAGAGCTGAAGCCACATGGAATGAAGTACCCTTACTCATGTCCAAGCTCTTCGACTTGATGCCCAGCCAGATCTGTGGACTGAATTCTGCATGTTGTATACCCCAAACCACCTGCAGATTTAATCATGTCATCCTCCCATTATACTGTATATGTATAATAAATAATATTCTGCTATTTGTTTTCCTTCCTGATGTAGCAATTTTAATAGCCAGCAGTGTATTTTTAACAATACATCGTGGTTTTGCTGTTGGTTGAATAGTAAGCTTTTGTGGGTAGAAAAAAGGGGCATGTGTAAAATTTATCTTAGTGTCATGATATGGGCGGAGATATAGGAATAAATAGATATAGATGTAAATAAACAAAATATGTTTTCAATAATTAAATATGTGCATTATATACTGTTTAGACAACTGATTATATATATATATCTTTGGTACGTGACTATTGTCTCATCATGTGCAATTCTTCTTTGCACTGTGTTATGGGTCTTCTAAATGTATTTTAACATTGTTGCAATAATGCAGGTTAGACATATTTTTGGAGCCTGCAAAATATGAATGTTATTCCTATCTCTCAAATAGTAATTTAAATTTTGTGAAGGAATAAATGTTCAATGATGGATTTTTGGATCTACACCATTTATTTTTTCAGGTAGGTGTATTAAATTGGAAAACAGAAATGTAAAGAATGGACTGTTAAAATAGACTTTGCTTTGTTCATGAACTTATTTTATTTACCAAACTTGCATGTTTCTTTCTAAATTTGAATTTCCAGAAATTACTTGTGAAAATAATAATTTTCCAACCTTTCCAATTCCAAGCATACCAATAAAAGAGGAGAGGTTAAATCTGTTAAGTTACACTGTCAGTTTTCAGGGGAAAATGTGTCATTAAAATATGTATATACTATTTCTAGTCATTATTCTATCTTTATAGAGTAATATTGATCATAAATTTCAAAAGGTAACATAATTTGGCAGACTGGAAGCTGACCTGTATATTTTTCGTGATCCAAAAAAGTTACTGGGCTTAGCCATCAATATGATTAATAGGGTTAAATCGTTAATTTATTATTTATTTTTGGTTCTGGTTTCTTAAGAGTCAGTGTTCAATCACTGTTAGCTTATAATCAGATAAATACAGCATTTTAAAATTTTATATTCTTCTTTGTTATAGAAATATTGAAAAAAAAAAAATCATTTTTTTAAAAACTCAGATTAATTTAATTTCCATCAGAAAAGGGTTAGCTTTCCCATGTTTCTAAATTATCATAACAGAAAGGATAGGTAACACTTCTAGCTGTGAATAGAAAGGAGTTACATTATGGTAAATGTAAAGAGGGGAAAGGTTCCCTCTATTTACCATAATGTAATTTTTTAAGATCGATAATTTAATCGATTTTAATTGTTGAAATATTATGGTCTGTATGTTAGTGTACTTTTGATATGACAGCTAAGGATCAGGTTAGCAAACTGCACTTCCAGGGTTGATTTTTTCCCATGAATTTAGTATTTTGAATGGCAGATAGTATTCTGAACAGATTAAACCATCAATAGAATTTCACTTAGTTCAGCCATTCATTATTTGTTGTTGTAGATTCGTGGCATTAGATGTTATACCAGTTATTTTTTAAAGTTCTAGAGTTCAAAGGTTCTCAATGAAGGGAAAATTTTCCCTAGGGGGGATTTGATAGTTTCACAGCGAGAATGTGGCTAGTTTTTGATTTACCTTATAAGGATTTAGTCTTGTTTAGTAATATAAAAAACTACTTTTATTCAAGTTTTGGTTTTTTATCAATATTTTTTATACTTTTTGTTGTTTAATTTATAAAACATGATAAAAATAATCTAAATTTAAATAAACATATATGTATTTTTTGAGTTTTTGGAAGGAAGGGGGATGATCATCTAGCTATGGTGAAAGGGTTGAGAACCACTGCTGTAGCCTCTCAAAACATTGGAACTCACATATATGAACCTCAATGCATCAAGCCTCAGTTTGGATGCAAATTGATGCAATAGGACTTGCATGCTAGGGAAAGAAGAGTGAGATACATGATAAACATATAACCAATTGATCTTGTACCATGATCATATTGTTGGTGTAACAACTTTAGCATCAAATTAACAAGTTACTTTTTCTGGGTTTACACTAATTGAAGCATTCAGTGTTTCAATTGCCTTACGATGATTTCCTTAGCAAATGATGCTATCAGTAGCACTTAACTCATTACATTTGTGCAGACAGGCAAGAGAATTTAGTTTACCTTGAATTTGTGTAAATATAGTTTTTATCTGAAGTTTTATTTTTATAGTGATCAGAGATTAATATTTAGAATTGTAGTGTGTCATATTGCAACTTTTCACGTTTTCATAGCTGTAATATTCAAGTGCATGTTTGAAACAATATAATATTTCTTGTAAAATATAGAATTTTCAATTATTGTTATTAGGAGTCTGCTGATGAATCTACTGATCAGATGTTTTGTGCTGTTTGCAATAATATTGCTACACTTCGATGCAAGCAGTGTGCCAAAGTTGCTTACTGCAATACTGCATGTGCTGTATGTATTTTTGTATTTTTTATAGATTAAAAGAATAATAATTTAAGTAACTAATTATTATTTAACAACTTATCTATCTAGATAGATAATTAAATCAATAAAAGGGTTAATAGTCTAACTGGAGGTACACATTTCAAAATTAAAACAATATTTAATTGTTTTTGTTTCAGTTGTGAATTGTATGCTTCTTATTAGACTGTTAATCCCTTTCATAATGTAATTTTTGATTTAATTATTATCTCTTATTTAATTAATTAATTTTGCAGCATACTTTGTCCTCTTTAATAATGATCTTAATTTAAAATTTCTGAAAGTTTTGTGTGTCTATGTAATAATGGTATGGAAACTTTGATAGTTTAAATATTTATCCATAATAAAGAACAAACTTGGCAGCTGAGACATATTATATATTCATTTTTGATTTCAATTCACTTTTGAGACCATAAATTACTTGGCACTCTAATTCATGCCTATTTCAAAACACTTACATTTTTGATAGCTCTGCGGTAAAAAAAAAGTAGCAAGCAGCAGTCCAGCTAGGCCGAGGTGCAGAAAGTAAGTGTGTAGTTATCCAGTATGGAGGCTTACAAAGAGAAAAGTTTTGGTTTAAGTTCTGAATTATCTATGTCATCATCATTATGTAAAAGTCATATAATAGAATTAATCTAAAAATAATGCTGTCCAGATAAAGTTACAGTCAAAAGTCGTTAATTCCGACACCCATAATCCGGACCTCAAAGCTACAAACTTTCTGCGCATGCGTCTACCTTTACGGCTTCGAATATGCTTGTGCACGTGCATAAAATACGTTTATGAGTGCGCGTTTAATGTACAACGGATGGTATAAGCTAAGCTAAAAAAATTATCTAATTATCTATTTCAGTTAATGTTGCAGATTGTGTTGTTCCTTAATATTCGAATTGGATCCGGCTTATTATTTTTTGCAAACTGTAAGCTTGAATTTTCGATTATGTCAAATAGAATTTCTGATATATATTTATTAATATGTAAAGGATCTACAAAGCGAAAGTATGTTTCGAAGTTCATTAAACAAAAAGTGGAATTACTGCAAAAAATGGATAAAGGCATATCCTTTGTTTATCTAAGCTTTAATGTTTGTTTATCTTTATGGTCGCAGCGCGCACTGAATTGGAAGTTGATCTGTAAGCACTATCCTTATCTTCAGGGCAGATGTTTTTATATTATTTGGCTTATAATTCCTTACTATATGTAGTATTTCATCTCGATGTACTCCGTCTTTGATATATTTAAATCAAATTCCTCGTCATTATAATTTGCCTCCGATAGCGAAGAAAGTGACAGAGGTTATTGAAAACGAAAAAATTTCGATTGACAAATTAGTCGGTATTCTCGACACAGCAATTATAGGACTTGAACAGCGGAACTTTGTAACTGAACAAGAAATTATGTCTGTTTTATAGAATTAAAGAGAATGTATTATCACATAAATAACGAAGCAAACTTAAACAACTTACATTGAAAGAAATGTTTAATAAAGTAAACAATAAATATTAAGCTTTTTTTTTTGTAAATTTTGATACCCTTTAGATCACAATTGTTCTTTATTTCATAAATTACGGTTTCATATTTTTAATTTTATAATTTCTGCATGCCATCTTACCAGATTTAAACTGATGATCTATAATGCGGAAAAATCGATAATCCGGAATCGCCGATGTCCCGACGAGTCCGGATTAACGACTTTTGGCTGTATTACTATTATCAGAATAGAGAAGGGAAATACACAAGTGAAGAATTAAGGGGCTATTGCTAATATAAAATTTAGTTTCTTTCATGTTTTTTACCTTATGAATTCTCTCCACTTCAAAGAGAAAAGCATTTTTAAGATATAAAGTACTTTAAATTTTAACTGAAATAGTTATGTAAGTAACTGTAATATAAACTTGGAAAAGAAGGCTTTTCAAAGTATTTCACGCAGTATCACAGACATAAAAATTTTATGCACCCTCTATTCATTTTGGATAATCTCATTTTCATAACATAACTAATTTCTATATTTAAAAACTATTTTTTAACATCATAAATATAACAGCAATATTGCTGAAATTATGATTTCACTGTAATGATCACATTTCTAGTTTTCTTATTTTATACAAGTAGATGACACAACAGCTTTTTTCAAGTACAAACATTCCCATCTATTGGGCATATCCACTTGAACTAACTGATTCATCAGTGTTTAAGGCATGCTGAGCAGTTGCTTATACAAGCCTCCATTCGTTGCATAAGGTAACCATCCTTTGTGAATTATACTAATGCATTCTAATAAAAAATGTAAGATAATAATAATATATTTAAAAAATTATACCCAGTCACAAAATAAGAGCCTTCAAAATTATCTTGTATGAGAAGGACAAAAGAAACTGTGTTACAAAGGTAATAATAGACCTCTGTTTTTGAACTACTTGTAGTACTCCCTCAGCATATTCTATACTTAACACATAATTGTACATAAATTTTAGCATTCTTTACCATAATTTCAAAATACAGTAAAAAATCTTTAATCCGGACTTGTCGGGACTTCGGCGTTTCCGGATTATCGATTTTTCTGAATTATACACAGTCCAGTCACATTAATGTGACCATCTGTCAAAAGCCAGAATAACCACCTTTCGCAGAGCGGACTGCTGCGAGACGTGCAGGAAGAGAGTCACATAGGTCCCTGAAGGTGTTCTCTGGGATGTTGAGCCATGCCGACTCTAATGCCGTGGCCAGCTGCGCTAGATTACGCGGTTGAGGATCCATGGCGCGAACAACTCGATCGAGATGTTCCCACAGAAGATGCTCGATTGGGTTTTAAGTCAGGTGAGTTTGCTGGCCAGGGGAGGACGGTAAACTCATCCTGGTGCTCTTCGAACCACGCACGTACACTGGCAGCTGTATGGCACCTCGCATTGCCCTGCTGGAAGATGCCATCATCCTGAGAAAAAAACAATGCGCATGTAGGGGGTGAACATGGTCCGCAAGGACAGATGCGACTTGTATTGATCCATTGTGCCTTCCACAATGATCATGAACCTAGAGAATGCCAGGAAAAATTCCCCACCATAATGCTCCCGCCTCCATCTTGGACCGTTCCGGCAATGGTTGCTGGGTGGTTCCTTTCAGAGGTTTTCACGCCTTATACGCCAACGTCCATCTGTCCGATGGAGATAAAAACGCAACCTGTCGCCACTCAGTGGACGTCCAGCTGCTTGTACTGGAAATTCTAGCCTTCGCCGTCGATGAACAGCATCAGCATAGGTGCACGAACCAGGCATCTGCTTCGGAGGCTCAGACCAGCAATGTTCGCTGAATAGTACTTTGGGGAGACACTTTTGGTACCCTTGGTTCATTTTGGTGGTCAGTTGCTCAACGGTAGCCCGTCTATCTGCCCGAACGCATCTCCGCAACCGTCGTTCGCCTCTGTCATCTATGGCCCGTGGTGCACCCATTTGCCACGTCGCTGATTTTGGACAGTCCCATTTTGCCATGCACGGTGGTACACTTTTACCACGGGCGGCACGCGAACAGTTCACAAAACTCAGCCGTTTCGGAATGCTCCACCCTTGCCCCGAAAGCCAATGATCATGCCCTTTTGGAGTCGGATAAATCGCTTCGTTTCTGCATTACGCCAAACGATTGAAATGTTTTCCGAAGGCCTCACACACCCTTTATATACGCTCAACTGCACTGTGCTGCCACCTGCCTTCTGTGATTGGTTATTTAACTCTGACATGGAAAGTACGTGGTGGTCACATTAATGTGACTGGACTGTGTAGATCATCAGTTTAAATCTGGTAAAATAGCATGCAGAAATTATAAAATTAAAAATATGAAACCATAATTTATGAAATAAAGAGCAATTATGATCTAAAGGGTACCAAAATTCCCCCCCTCCAAAAAAAAAACCTAATATTTATTTGTTTAGTTTATTAAACATTGCTTTCAACACGCACATGCATAAAGCATACATTACTCATAGTCCGAAATTAGAAATTGCAACCAGAAACTATTTGATGTTGCATTCGTGATATTTATAATGACGAGATTTGATTTTAAATCATATCAAAGATGGAGTACATCGAGATTAAATACTACATTTAGTAAGGAATTATAAGCCAAATAAAATAAAAACATCTGCCCTGAAGATAAGAATAGTGCTGAGAGATCAACTTCCAGTTCATTGCGCGCCGCCTCGTCCCCCCACCCCACAGAGCAGCATGAAATTGATAAACAGATTTCGGAATGGTTAGAGAAACAAAGGATATGCCTTTATCCATTTTTTGCAGCAATTCCACTTTTTGTTTGATGGACATCGAAACATGCATTTGCTTTGTAGATCCTTTGGCAGCTCCAGCTTCGGAAATTCTATTTGACATAATCGAAAGTTCAAGCTTACTTTTATAAAATTGCTCTAACAGTCTGCAAAAAATAATAAGCCAGAAGATTAAGGAAACAGCGCAATCTGCAACATTAACTTAAATAGCCTTATAAATCAGTAAATATAATTTTAGCCTTAGCTTATACTGTCCGTTATACATTAACGCGCATGCGTAAAGCATACATGCAAAAAAAAAAAAAAAATGTTTGTGACTTTGAGGTCCGGATTATAGATCATTCCCAGATATGGATGTCTGGATTAACGACTTTTAACTGTTTTTTTTTTAAATAGTACATTTTACTTTTAATTACATTATTCATAATCAGTTAATTTCTAAAAATTTTCACATTTCTATATTCATTATAATAATATCACAATATCAAATATTTTTTATATTTTACTCAAAACATGATTTTCTTCCCATTTTTTCATGCTAATATTACAAAGTTTTTTCTTCTCTTTATGTTAGCTGATTCTTAAATTAATTATTAAATTCTTAAAACTAATTTAAGGATTTTTTTAAACAATAATTCAAGAGTAATTTTTCATATTAAAAGAGTAATAATTAATTTTTTGTATTAAAAGAGTAATTTTT